GGAGCGCTCCCCGGGGATCCCCCCCCAGCCCCAGACATGCCTGTAGCACCATCCCCGTGGGCACCCACCCACCCATGTCCAGTCACGTACAGCTACCCAGGCATCCACCTCCGCTCCCAGCCCAGCCCCTCCAGTTTCCACACAGCAGGAGGGTGACAGGCAGACGCACGCCTCTACTGGGCATTCCCCAAATCTCCCCGATAGTTGCTTAAAGTCCAGCCATCTCACACACGTCCATTCAGCTACCTATCCACCAATATACATCCATGCCCACGGCCTGACCTCTACTGGTCCTTTCATCTCAATAAAAATCCACCCTTCCCTCCACAAAGCCAGCCAGCCAGCCATCCATCGCTCATCCAGACATCCCTCCTTATACATGTTCGGTCATCTATCCATGACCATCCCTACCCACCCACACCCACTGGCCCCTAATGACAGCCATCCATCTCTTCATTCATTGATTCATTCGTTCGTTCCTTCCACACCCATCTCTTCATTCATTTATTCCACCCCATCTATTCATTCATTCAGTCCTTCTACACCCATCTGTTCAATCATTCATTCATCTGTTCATTCATTCATTATACATTCATTCATAATACATTCATTCATAACACACCCAACATTTCATTCATTCATTCCTTCATTCATTCATTCCATACTCATCTAACCATTCATTCAGCCTGCTTCATACAGATCCATCCATCTGCCTGTCTGTCAATCCACCCATCCACCTCCATCCACAGGCCTCTCTCTGTTCCATGGCCAGTAGGAGGGTTGGGGAGGTTGGAATCTGGGAAACGTCTTCCCAGGAAGGCCCCAGCTGTTCTCTGCTGTCCACACTGCACTGCACAGCAAAGGGGGAAGAAGGGGAAGGGGCCAGTGTCCCGGGAGCAGCCGCTGACCTGTGGTGGCGTCGGTGGAGAGGGGGCCGAGGCGCTTGCGGCCGGACACGCCGTAGAGGTTGAACTTGTACCGGCGGGAAGGCGCCAGGTTGGGGACGGTGACCGTGCGGGATCCTCCGTCCACGGGCAGCGCCTGGGGCTGGCCCTCCGCGTCCTTGTACTGGAGGAGGAAGGAGTCGAAGTCCCCGGCCGGGACGGTCCAGGAGAGCAGGACGGACTCGTGGGTGATGTCAGAGGCCGAGAGCTCGCCCAGGCTGGGTTCCTCCTGCTGTGCGGCGGCTGGAACAGAGAGAGGGGGGTGAAAGGTGCAGCTGGGGTAGGGGGCAGCTCACCTGTCCTCATGGGGCAAGTTCCTAGTCGGAGGAGATCTGCAGAGAAGCTTAGCGGGGAAGCGGGGGAGGGTGCAGGGATTCCAGGGATCAGCCGGATCCGGCAGCTGGGAAAGAGACGGGGCAGACCGACACACGGATGGGGAAAGAAGGACCCCACATTCCCAGGTTCTCTCCAGCCATCCTGCCTGTGTGGAGTGGTCACCCTGGAGCTGAGCTGGGACGGGAGGAGAGGCAGGGAAGGGAGAACAAAGCAGAGAGAGCAGCCAGGGGGTGTCTCCAAAGCCACCAACATGAATGGAAAGGTCCCCAGGGACACTCGTCCAGCCCCAACACCTGCTCCACCCTTCCCTACATGCTCCTGTGCGCCCATTCAGAGATCCGTCCCCAGCCATGCGCTCCTTCCCCATCCATCTCCTCAGACAGCCGTCCGTGTGCCCTGCCCTCCGTCCGTGTGCCCTGCCCTCCGTCCGTCCATGAGCACAGCCCTCCATCCGTCCACCCTTCCTCCCATCCACATGCCATCCCATCCACCCATCCATCCACCCTTCCTCCCAATCCACATGCCCACCTGCTCTTCCATCCATCCATCCATCCATCCAGGGGGAAAATATGTGAGCGGGACATCAAGCTGAGAAACCAGTCTTGGCACCTTGTGTGTTTACCTGAACCTATATTTGTGTGCATGCATCTCTTTGCATATTTTTATATTTTGTGAAAAGATGTCATGTACATAATAGAATATAAACATCTATCCACCTGTCCATCCATCCACCTGTCTTCCCATCCTTCCATCCATCCATCCATCCATCCATCCACCCACCGTTCCATCCATCCATCCTTCCATCCACTGTCCTGTCCATCCATCCACCCATCCATTCATGTGCCCTCCCATCCAATTACCCTTCCACCCATTCATTCACTGCTCCTTTCTTCCTTCCATCCACCCCCCTGCCGTTCCACCCATCCCTCTAGCTCTCCCTCCCCAGTGCTTCCATCTCTGGAATGGCCAGTAGATGGGTGGTAGAGGTTGAAATGTGGGAAGTGTCTTCCCAGAAAATTCCTAGTTGGAAGATGTTCTCACCGCACTGCAAAGCAAAGTGGAGGGGCGGGGGAGGACACAGTAATTCAGGAGCAGACACTGGGCCCAGGCGCTTGCGGCCGGACACACCGTAGAGGTTGAACTTGTACCGGTGGGAAGGCGCCAGGTTGGGGACGGTGACCGTGCGGGTTCCCCCGTCCATGGACAGCGCCTGGGGCTGGCCCTCCGCGTCCTTATACTGGAGGATGAAGGAGTCGAAGTCCCCGGCTGGGACGGTCCAGGCGAGCAGGACGGAGTTGTGGGTGACGTCAGAGGCCGAGAGCTCCCCCAGGCTGGGCTGGGGGGCAGGTTGCTCTGTCTCTGGTGCTGCAGGTGGAACAGAGAGGGGAGTGAAGGGTGCAGCGGGGGTGGGATGGGGCAGTGTGCTGGGTCCTTGGAGGGCCAGCTTATTCCTAGCCACAGGGGCCCTGCAGAAAGGATTAGTGGAGAAAGGGTGTACGGAGTCCCTGGAATGGCTCAGGATGCATCTGGATCCTGTTGCTGGGAAGGACAGCTGGGGACAGACGGATGGACGGGGCATGTCCGCAAAGAGGATCCCACTTTCTCAGGTTGCCCCAGGCCATCCTGTCTCCATGGAGGGGCTGGCCCAGAGCGACCGGCACACACCTCGGGGAGAGCTGAGCTGGGACGGGAGGAGCGAGAGGGAAGGAAGAACACACGAGCGAGAGAGAGAAGGGGATGAACCAAAGCCACCGACGTGAATGGCAAGATCCCCACGGATGCCCTTCCATCCCTGGGTCGGGGAGGTAACCTAGTGGCAGAGTGTGTGTCCATATCACCCTCTACAGCTGCACCCGTCCATGCACCCACACCCAGCCACTGCCTG